CACATAAAACCACGGAGTACTGGAGATATGTTTCGTCCTATTTCGCAACTCCTCACAGTAAGCACACATGATTCAGCCAGGGTCGACCCCAAGACCTTATCGTTATTGGATTAATTAAATCCACCCATCAATTCTAAATTCTGCCAATTCGTGATATTTAGAGCAACCACTAACCAATGTCATTGGAGGGTATTTATTCTCACACCTGAATTGGTGGACTCGACTGGCCAAGACCCCTCACTAGAAATTTAGGTAACATCATCTGCAGTCAGTCAGTCAGTAGTTAGCACTGATTTTGCAGAAAATTGACTGAATTCAAGTTACGTGATCACGAAATGGCTTCATCTAAACAGTCCCTTCAGTAAGAGTCTCATGCAAGGACTACGAAGGCCTGTTATATACACTCTAGTTTCCAATAACTACTAAGCTGACTAACTAACTAACTAACTAACTAACTAACTAACTAACTAACTAACTAACTAACTAACTAACTAACTAACTAACTAACTAACTAACTAACTAACTAACTAACTAACTAACTAACTAACTAACTAACTAACTAACTAACTAACTAACTAACTAACTAACTAACTAACTAACTAACTAACTAACTAACTAACTAACTAACTAACTAACTAACTAACTAACTAACTAACTAACTAACTAACTAACTAACTAACTAACTAACTAACTAACTAACTAACTAACTAACTAACTAACTAACTAACTAACTAACTAACTAACTAACTAACTAACTAACTAACTAACTAACTAACTAACTAACTAACTAACTAACTAACTAACTAACTAACTAACTAACTAACTAACTAACTAACTAACTAACTAACTAACTAACTAACTAACTAACTAACTAACTAACTAACTAACTAACTAACTAACTAACTAACTAACTAACTAACTAACTAACTAACTAACTAACTAACTAACTAACTAACTAACTAACTAACTAACTAACTAACTAACTAACTAACTAACTAACTAACTAACTAACTAACTAACTAACTAACTAACTAACTAACTAACTAACTAACTAACTAACTAACTAACTAACTAACTAACTAACTAACTAACTAACTAACTAACTAACTAACTAACTAACTAACTAACTAACTAACTAACTAACTAACTAACTTACTAACTTACTAACTAACTAACTAACTAACCATGAACTAACTTACTAGCTAGCTAACTAAGTAACTCAATTTTTGATCAAACTTGAAAACGTTTTATCCACATTTCAAGAACTACTGTACTGTGTCTGTTGTGTATCGTTTTTCTTCTTGATGGTGCTATCTTTGGCTACATACCATCATGATTATCTGTAGTGTGAGATAAAGCTAATAATTGCAAAAATGCACGCATACGTACACGCACACTAAATCTCAACTCAAGAGAACACTGTACTATTCATAATACGCCTTTCTTTTTTCTAACCAGCCAACTGATGACTTAAAGCAATAAAAAAAGTCACATTTTATTGGCTTTGAAAATAGAGAAATAAATTTAATTGTCTACAGAATTGACTGTCATGTGACAGATTAGCATTTCTCATGTCTACCAGTCGGAGGATGGGTGGTACTGGAGGTAGAAATCATCCCTTTTCAGTGTACTGACATTCGGGAAAGCTTTCGTGTCATATACTCTTTCGACTAATCGTTCTTAGCCTTCTAAATTTCAGATTTTGAGATGCAGTGACCAGAGTTTTCAGTGATCTTTCTCCTATCTAAGTCGAGTTTTTACTTGAATAAGATAAGGCTAACGAAAATACTGGGGACGGCGAATGGAGAAGATTCTCTTTTATTCAAGATAATACTGATAGCATACACGAAAATCATATGACAAAAATCTATTTGTATGACTCTAATGCATCGCTTCATATTGTAAGCAATATACCGATGCAAAGTATAGGCTCTGATAATCACCAAAAACCGTAAAAATAATCCCAATCGATTATTCGGACGTTGTTGAAATAACTAATTTAATTGGAGGATTTAATCATGAGCTGACATCAGTTAGAGAATCACTGGAAACCCAGCTGGGAGTACTGCCAGACAGCTGTTTCGTCCTAGTTTGGCACTCTTCAGCAGTACGCACCCACCCACTGGGGTTCGAGTCCAGAACCTTCTGGTTACAAGGCGAGCTCGTAGACGATTGAGCCACTGGGACCCGTCCAATGGTCCTTGAATTCTAACTTCTGCCAGTTCACGACATAGCGCGACCACTTCGCAATGTCTTCTTCGATAAGTTACTGCCTCATCTTCAACCTGCTCTACCCTACTGGTTACGGCTTCCTACTAGAACCCCAGGTTAACTGCCTGAATAGGGCCAGTCACTAGTGAGCATCAGATACATTTTCAGATTTCATCAGATTTCATTCTACAAAACCAATACTTGAAAACTAATTTAATTGCCGCTATGATCTACCAAGCAGTCAATCGTAGTTATGCAGGAGGGGAAACAATATAAATGTGAGAATAAAACATTGTAGAATTTAAGGCAATATTGTATTTTAAAGCTTTGACTGACTGGCCTTGTGAAGTGGATCAAACTCGAGGTGAAGCTTCACTTTCTATTTAGAAACCGAAATTATTCCGGTCATAATTGATGTGTTCTAAGTGATGCTCGAAAAAGCCAGCATAAATGCACTAGCTTACTGATTTGAGTAATAGTTAGGTACTCTCTGATACTCTCTGACCTAAATCAACCTGAGTAAATCACTGATAGATACGACCTTTGACGGGTGAAACCGCCGTCCAGTGTTATTTAAGTCATTCTGATTTGACTGGGAAGAAAGCATTATCGGTTAATGAGAGCGGGCGTCCAACAATTATTATATTTCCTGACCTAAAGGCGGAATTCAATTCTGTCGACCGAGCGGTACTCTGGCGATGCTTGACTGTAAAGGGAATAACGAGAAAATACATTGCGCCGATCAAGAAAGTCACTGTACTCGAACTGATGCAGCCAGGTGAGGGTTGACGCCAAGTTGTCCTCAGCGACTCAGGGATTGACTTGTAACCAGGGAATAATCTCGTTGAATTAGAATATGCAGATGATATAGTCCTTCTAGGCGAAGACGCTGACGAAATGCAGAGTCTTCTGAACACCTGGAGCTGCAATCTACGAATGTTTGGTATGTGATTCGCTCCCGCCAAATGCAAGATCATGTTACAGGACTGGACTACATCGACGTCTAGTTTAAAAATAGGAAGTGAAGTGGTAAAGCTTGTTGACCGTTTCATTTATTTGGGAAGTACCATCAGCCAACGCCAACAGGTTATTCTTTGACAAAATCTCAGCACGGATACAGAGGGCTAGTTTCGCATATGCCAGTTTACGCCGTCTCTGGCTTAGTAGACGTGATATCCGGCTAGCTGGCTATCGACCAAAGAGCAGGTGTACTACACATCAGTCCGCTCCATCCTCCTTTATGACTGGCTGTGAGACCTGGCCATCGAGAGTGGAAAACATGAAAAGCCAGGCTAGCTGTCTTCGATCATACGTGCCTGCGTTCTATCTCCCGTGTCAAGTGGTAGGCGTAATAAGGTGAGCAATATTGAGGTCAGCCACCCGTCGAGTGCCAGGTGGATGGGAGGGGAAATCAATCGACGAGGCTGTGAAGTGACATTGACTGAGATGGTTAAGACATGTGTAACGTATTTCCAGCCTAGTCATAGCCTTCCTCGACAACAGGAAATGTTAGCTGACATACAGTCAGCTGGAAAAGAGCTAGTGAGTGGTGGTCAAACCACGGTCAAATATGGCTTCATCAGTCAATCAAATCCACAACAGTTAGTTTAAGCCAGCCAAACAGCCAGCCAGCCATGTAGGGAGTTGTAGACATCCTGACTGACTGGTTGGGGTCCTCGGGAAGGTAAACGCCAATGAAGGCTGGAGACAACCCATGGTGATTTGGCTCAAAGTGATCGTTCTCAATGGCTGGCTGACGCAGATGCATCCACTCCTTGTCACTTATGATTTCCAATGAAACTATATTGTTCTTCGTTATTACTATTCCTTTGTGTCACACCTCTGTTTACTGTCTCTATTGTGCATTTCTTCTACTTTCTTCTCTTGATTTGTGTGCTAGATGTGGGTAGTGTGGTGACTTGAACTAGTGCACATCGGTGCAAGGTTCTATGTCCAAAACAGAGAGACTGACTGACAAACTGTGTTGTGTTAACGATAGGCGTTTGTTCAAGTGGGTGAAGGTGATTCTGACTCCAGACTGTCTATGGTGGGAAGCGTCGTTGTGTGTGTGTGTGTGTTTGTGTGTGCGATTCTTGTGAACAGGAGAGCTTTTGATCCCACTTCCTTGAGAATTTTCTTCTCTATTCTAAGGTACCTTTTACACAGTTGGACTTTGGTTAACTAATTTTTGTCGAACGCTACTTTTATTTGTTTTGCATTTAGAAACCTACATGGCCGGCATTATAGCTGGCTGCCTTCCGGCAGTATTGAGGTTAATTTAATATAACTGAACTAGATCCAAGATAGTTGTAAAGACTTGACTAGTTTCTTTTGAACAAATAGCTCCGGCTTTTCGATGCATATGACATGAGTTTTGCAGTACAAAGAAGTCGGGAGCACACACTGACTGCCTTTGGTAGATTTTTGTTTACTTTGTAAATGACTCTGAATGGGATGAGTCGTCAGTTGAGATGCTGTGACAGGTATGCTGACTAGGTGTTTTAGTTATGGCGCTTCTGACTGAACCAGTGCCTCCTCTTTGCAGCCATACTGGATGACGTTCTCTAACACGTTTTGATACAACATGTTAGATATCTTTTCCCTCTAATATCCAATCAGCTTGACACACCTTTACTTTTAAAATAGATGCAGCCCATCTTTAAATGTATAAATATCCATGGGATTATTATGTAATCTTTTAGAAGGCTTATCCTTCTTCTTCTAGATGAACTTCTGCTGGAGGATCAACACATAGCTAATGCATTCTATCGTATTTATTTCTCTTTCAGATCTTTTCGCATATATATTACATTCTATCCAATCAACATACTGACCTCTTTCGACAGAGTTTGGAACCTTGAACCTCAAGATTATAATAGTAAGTCATTAGATTTGACTTGATTTTTTTTTGCTTGGAAAACTCCCCCAGAGTTTTATTTTTAAAGCATTTCTGTCAAAATTTTTATTTTGTTAGATAATTTTTTTTTGCAGTGTGATGTACAGTGCTTGATGATTGTTCATCCTCAGTAACTTTTGTCTTCTGCAGTACACTGTTGTACGCAATTTAGAGGGTCGACTCACTAACGGTGGGGGAGGGGGTGGGCGGGTGAATCGATGACTTGGTGTTAATGTTGACTAGGCAGTCAATCTAAACGCAAGAAACTGACCTCTGACGTCCAGAGAAAGTTCCAAAGCAGGAAGAAAACGATTATTCTCAAGTATTTTAGCGTTTCTGTCAAACAACAATAATAATATTAAACTTAAATTAACCTCAATACTGCCGGAAGGCAGCCAGCTATAATACAGGCAATGTAGGTTTCTAAATGCAAAACAAATAAAAGTAGCGTTCGACAAAAATTAATTAACCAAAGTCCAACTGTGTAAAAGGTACATTAGAATCGAGAAGAAAATTCTCAAGGAAGTGGGATCAAAAGCTCTCCTGTTCACAAGAATCGCACTCACAAACACACACACACACAACGACGCTTCCTACCATAGACAGTCTGGAGTCAGAATCACCTTCACCCACTTGAACAAACGCCTATCGTTAACACAACACAGTTTCTCAGTCAGTCTCTCTGTTTTGGACATAGAACCTTGCACCGATGTGCACTAGTTCAAGTCACCACACTACCCACATCTAGCACACAAATCAAGAGAAGAAAGTAGAAGAAATGCACAATAGAGACAGTAAACAGAGGTGTGATGAGACAAAGGAATAGTAATAACGAAGAACAATATAGTTTCATTGGAAATCATAAGTGACAAGGAGTGGATGCATCTGCGTCAGCCAGCCATTGAGAACGATCACTTTGAGCCAAATCACCATGGGTTGTCTCCAGCCTTCATTGGCGTTTACCTTCCCGAGGACCCCAACCAGTCAGTCAGGATGTCTACAACTCCCTACATGGCTGGCTGGCTGTTTGGCTGCCTTAAACTAACTGTTGTGTATTTGATTGGCTGATGAAGCCATATTTGACCGTGGTTTGACCACCACTGGCTAGCTCTTTTCCAGCCTGACTCTATGTCAGCTAACATTTCCTGTTGTCGAGGAAGGCTATGACTAGTCTGGAAATACGTTACACATGTCTTAACCATCTCAGTCAATGTCACTTCACAGCCTCGTCGATTGATTTCCTCTCCCATCCACCTGGCACTCGACGGGTGGCTGACCTCAATATTGCTCACCTTATTACACCTACCACTTGACACGGGAGATAGAACGCAGGCACGTATGATCGAAGACAGCTAGCCTGGCTTTTCATGTTTTCCACTCTCGATGGCCAGGTCTCACAGCCAGTCATAAAGGAGGATGGAGCGCAAAATGTCAGTGTTAGACACAACCACAAAGAGAAGGAATGTATGTAAAGTTTAAACAAGGACAATGGGGATTAATAAAGGTGAAAAATCAACATTTGGTATGCAAATGTTAAATTAATGATACACAGTCTAGGAGAAAAACGTACAATCATTACAAAGTTAGGTAAAACGTATAATTAAGTACAAATATTATAAATGGATCATCCAAATGGATAATTTCCAAAACATTTGCCACTTGCACCATGACTGCAATCCTAAGGACGGGAAAAAGAACACTGATTGTTAGTCTAGTGACAAGTCATCAATGAATTCATTACATACTCCTACAAACTGGTCGATTACGGACTCGACTGGCTCAGTACAGGAGTTTTTAGCTGTAGGACTGGGTGATACCCGATTCTAATCTTGCAGGGGATATCAATTCCTTGAAAGTCACAGATGTGCCTTGCTAATGAGTACCATCAACATGATGAGACCTAAGTGTACGGCTCCCTTTCTATTGCCTCGAAACATCTAATATCATATGTGTGACAAACCCCCCCCCACACACACGCAGAGAGAGATTGGTTCACTAGTTAAGTCTTCTACTCTGCTAGTTGTGTTGAATGCATAACACAGTAGCATTTTTGTAGAGGAAGTGTTATTTGGGAAATTTGGTGTACATTTGCGTTGAAATCCCGATATCTTACACTGAGATCTCTCTCCATTTGCACATCGTGCTTCTGCTGTCCTTCTTTCAACTTTTTATCATGTTATTATCAAAAGGATCTTTCATTTCTCCACTTCATCAAATAATCTGTTGCCCAACTATTCAATATTTTCACAGAGAATGTATATTACTCACAAAATTTATCCGTAACACATGCCATGCTCTTCTGTTTTTCTCCTCTGCTGATGGTGTATATATATATATATCTTCCCAGTGGAACATAGGGCTTCAAACTAGAGGCTTAAGTTTGCGTAGCAGTGACTTTTATATTTTGCGGGATGGAGTTGCCGGGGATCGAGCCCCGCACCACCTGAATGGCTGGTGAACATCCTACCACTGTGCCACCTACGCACTTCAGCGTACTAAGTTGCAAAATATATTCCCCTTCATACAGGATTTGAAGTATATCATGTGATTTATTGTTGTGGATGATAAGAGAGCCAATTAAGTACAATTTTTTCCTACCTTTCTCTTCAAGAATTACACAGCGTTAAGTTGGAAGCTAATTAAATAGACCCAAGAGTTCATGTAGTGGTCATCTGATGATGCAATTGCATGATTTAAATGATAAGAAATGCAAGAGAGTTTAAGCACATTGGATGGATGAAAATTCAGGTAGCCCGGTGATTTAAGCAGGCCACCGTTGATAAACAGAACCACTTCTACAAGATCAAAACAAGTGATTCAGGGAAAAGACTCTTTTCAACGAATTTATCATCAAGCTGTACAATCATATATATATATATATATATATGGATCTTTTAAGAAGTTATATCCAGTGAGGGAAGTGAATCAAAGGTGTGAATGCATGAAATAATAATAGTATGAAATGCAATTAAAACCAAAATGTTTGTGATTATAATCATAGTTAAATGTCAAGTGGTAAAGCAAATTAATATCATATATATAATAATTCATAAGGATGGATAGGACTTGGAAAAGGGTGTGCAATTATAGGATTAGTAGACAAATCGAATAAAACAAAAAAGGTTATGTAATATTGTGTGAAATTTGGTAGTATAGACTTTAACGTTGGAAAAAAGAATTGATTTAGAATGACAAGTGGAACAAGGGAAATAATACCGTGGACAGTTCAGAGTGAGAATAGTTATAGTAACAATTGACGACATAAGGAACAGTATACAAATTGATTACACAAAATGAAAAAGAAAAGTTGGTAGAGCTAAAATATGATTGGGGATTACCATACTTTAGCATAGAGGGATTAAGACCAGGAAAGTTGAGGGGGTTGAACGAACTTTTTCTGTACACAGAGATCTGGCTTTTCTGTTTCGATAGCCAAAGATGGCTTCAGCAATACAGATGAGTCGGGTACGTAGTGATTTCGGTAAATTACTCTTTGCCTTGTAGATGACTTTAAAGGCGGAGGCTATAGAGATAGGGTGATCATTATCGACCAGATGTTCAATGATCACGCTTCTTATTGCTCCACTTCCATCTCTTCTTAACTATGCAGGATAGTGTTCTTGTACCCTCTTGGACAAAACTCGATTCGAATGACCGATATACCTAGCTCCACACGAGCAGGTGAATTGATAAACACACATAGAGTTGGTCAACAGTGGGATCTTGTCTTTCGGGTTATCGAACAGTAATGGTCGACTAGTAAAGGCTATTCTCAGAGATGCAGTAGGGAATGTTCCTTTCAGGGACTGTGATATCCTTCGTTTCATGATATCGGAAGCTAAGTCACCTTTGAATTCCAAGCTCATGTAAAGTATTTTCTCGGGTGCGGATAATAAGTCACATTTTATAGGATTTGAATGTATATTCTTGTCTACAAAACGTGTTGGGAATCGATTTTCTATTAGGATTTTCCTCAAAAGATTTAACTGATCTTCCATAGTATCAGGGCTACAAATGCGCAAAATGCGAGTGGTGAGCGACTGGACCAAGTTTCGTTTTCGACCAATGGGTACTCAGCTGTAGAAATGAATGATAAACGCACACAGAGCCGGTAAATTATGGGGTCTAGTCCTTCAGATTATTGAACAGTGGAATGGAAAAGGCTATTGTCGACAATGCAGCAGGGACTTTTCTTTCAGCGACTATGACATCCTTCTTTTAATGATACTAGGGAGAGTCTACCTGTCTTCATTTTCTATATGTTACAATGGGAATTTTCTATGAATTAAAAAATATTCTATAGTTTGGTTTGGAAGGGTTAGTTTTGTTTTTAAGAGTTGATCACGGCTTGATATCAACTAACCCTTGCAAACCAAACTACAGAAAATTAAATGTGATGCTCGCTAGTGACTTGCTACAGGACGGAGTTTCCTGGAGTCAGTTCTGGTGAGAAGTCGTGACCAGTAAGGTCCAATTAGATATCATGTGTGTGGATGGATGTATCACCTACGACAGTGGTTGGGGTCACGCTAATTCACGAATCGATAGAAGTTAGAATTCATGAGCTGGCCATTGAATCGGGTCCCAGTGGCTGAATGGTATATGAGCTAGCTTGCCTTGTAACCAACAGGAAGGTTCTGGGTTCAAACCTTGGTGGTGAGTGAGTACTTGCGATGATTTCCAAACTAGGCTGACGAGATAGGTGTCCAGTACTCCCTATGGCTGGTTTTCAATGGTTCTCTAACTGATATCAAGTTGTGATCAACTCGTAAAAATTACAAAAATTAGCAAAGACTCACCTCTCACGCTGTTTGCATCTTCCCCGCCACTACGGGATCTCAGTGTCATTCATCATCATCACATCACATCTCTACGGTCTTCACAGACATGAAACCTGAATGCTGCCAAAGGCCTTTGAATGAAAAGTTTTCTTTCCCTTGTTTGGTTGATTTTAAGCGCGCGCACACACACACACACACGCT